TCGGCAGGAAATTGGATGACATTAGGGAAGTGTTGGACGCCGTAAATGGTCTACCAATGACTGACCCCGAGTACCGGGAATTGCAGTTATTCAAGGATGTTGTGAGAAATTCCCGCAAATGTGGCTTTACTATCGGGGGTTTTGCTACGCTTAATAAATCAACACTCATTTCGGTAATAATAAATGATTGTAATAATTTTAATTTATACCATTATAAATTAATTGTTCTTATATTTCTCACAGATTATGACATTTGTATTAAATTATACAGTCATTTTGATGCAATCAAAGAATTAATTATTAATATATTTGATAATTCATAATTATTAATTATGTACGTATCTGGGAACCAGTAAAATATTTTTTAACATAATAAATTATATTTTTATGTTATAACTTAAGTGACATTACAAAACATAATATTTTTATGATACTGTTCTATAAAACATGTAAAATATAGTCAAATAATTGATAATATCTATTATAGATAATAACAAATTATTACCATTGTTTATTATTTGTTATTTATAGTTTATGATTATAATAAAAATATTCAATTAGCTTATTTTAAGTTACTTAATAATATTGTTTATTCAAATTATTATTATCAATATTTGTATTTTTAAGGACAATTGTTTGCCTAATACTTAACAAACTCACAGCGATAATTATATATTAGATGTAGCAATATTAGAAATATTCTGTTATTTATAAATATAAGCATATGATAAAAACAGAACATACAAGTGAGTCAAAGTAATTAAACACCCAAAAATACGATGCATTCAAATAACAAGCATTTTAAACGTATTTGTTTAATATTGTTGTGGTTTCACCGCATTATTGGCGTCTCGTTTGGCGGATTAGTATTATCACCCAATGGACACATGCGACAAATTAAAGTTACTAAATACTATGGATTTATACTTGCCGTCATAATGATCATGTTTGATTTATCTTCTATATTCTATTTATTTACTCATATCGAAGATTTTATGGATAGCGTAAATTTCAATAGCAAAATATTACCATATATTTATGTGACCATATTTTCTATCCAAAATACGCTTAAGTATTATATGATGTTTTATTTAAATATATATGGTTATGCTATAATTAAATCATTTATCGAGCACATTGGCGATCATATTAAAAATGTTTTGCCTGGTAAAATTATTTTAATATTAATTTTATGGACATTATATGTAGTAATTATTGAAGGATTGAATGCCGAATATTTGTATAATGATCAAGATGACAATAGTGTCATTAAGGGTATTTCAAATGTCTTATACTTGCACTACAATATTCTCTTATTGACAATTGGCGTAATCATGTGGTCTGTGACAATATATAGTGCGGATATTATTGAACAAATAACTAATGAAATAACCAAGTTTACAAAAATGGACATGGGTACTATATCAAAATAACTACCAAAACAATATAAATTAATTTATAGTTAAATTTGTTAACAGACACCAGGATGGACTCCACCCATTTCAGTGAAACACTTTATAACGGTAAACTGGTCTATGTAAAAATACAATCAACCATTATAAAATTAGACAATAGACTCAAGTACATAAATGCAGCCAAAACAATATTGACCTTCTTTGAATTGATGCTAAATATCTACGTGTTATTTATGTGGCACTGGACACCACAATTTAAGGCCATGGTCAAAATGATCGCCTTTCATGCTGGAGCACTTATCGGTCAGTTCATTATATCATGTTTCATTGGCGGCTCAATTGAGCAAAAGGCTGCTAAACTATGTCAAGCCCTGCACTCGATTAACACCCGGGCCCTCACGGATGCCGAGTATCGCGAGTGGCGTACGTTTACGGCTGTTGTCCAACAGTCTGGCCGTGCGTTTGGTTTTACGATCGGCGGTTTTGCCCCTTATAATAAAAATACCCTAATTAAAGTAAGTAACTATGTTTATATGCTTTCACTACGGTTTTGTTATATAGGCTATTTTAATTAATCTCAATTGTTTTTTTTCAGATGTTCACATTCATGCTCAACTATTCTGTTATTTTACTTCAGACTACTAAATAACGTTAAATTATTTAAACTCTTCATTATTAAATTAAAATTAATAATACCAAACTAATATTGATCTTATTTTATAATAAATGTTAAATTTTGTTATCATTAGTAAATATTTACATTCTTAAATTAATTGTTTACCAATCACTTAGACCATATGCACAAAAGTCACTTATACTCAAAACATGCTCAAAATAATTTGACTAAAACATTTACTCAATTTCATATTTATGAAATGAACGGCATAACTAAATTAATAGATAAACTTAAGCTTTATCAATAATTGAATTGAATTGAATTGAATTGAATTTATTGATATTTAGACACGTAATGCATACAACAAAAGCTGATTTTCAATACAGACGTGTTATAATAACTATAGTTAATGCCATAATTCAGTCACTATTTAAGTTTGTATCAATTAGAAACCATAGTACGTTAATAAAAATATAATCTAATTATCATTACAGATATTTGTATCTTTGTGTCAGTTTGTTTGCTACATAATGTTTTATTACTATTTCATTCAATTACAATAATAACTTTAGTTTAGCAAAGTGTGCTTTACTTTTTAATTTAAGTGAACACTTTAGCTATATTAAGAACTTATTGACATAATTTAGTGAGTGCTTCAATTTAATATTCATGCCTAATTCAATTGCAATTATCAATATTTGTGTTTTATAGGCCAGTTGTTTATTTAATATTTAGTTCACTTACAACAGTCTTATATGTGAAAGTTGATTAGCTTTACAATAGCTTTTGTTTTACTATGAAACTTTTTATGAATACAGATATAATGATTAAAACATTTTAAGTATGCCAAACATAATTACAATGCCTTTAAATAATATACATTTTAAACGTATTTGTTTAATATTGTTGTGGTTTCACCGCATTATTGGCGTATCTTTTGGCGGACTTTCAATTTTACCCAATGGACATATACAAGTAAATAAGTTAACCATGTATTATGGATTAATATTGGCCTTGTTAATGATTATCTACGATTGTTCGATAATGTATTATTTATTTACCAATATAGAAGAATTTATGGAAGGTGTAAAATTTAATAACAATATATTACCGTATATTTATTTGAGTGTGGGTTTGTTTATAACAATTTTTAAATATTATTTGATGTTATATTTTAATATTTATGGTTATGGTATTGTAAAATCATTTATTAATCAGCTAAGCAATCATGTAGTAAATGTGTTGCCTGGTAAAATTATTTTAATATTAATCCTATGGACACTCCACGGGATAATAATTGAGGTTTTAAACGTGGAGTTTGTGCATTATGATCAAGATGACTATAAAATCCTCAAGGGCATTTCAGCTGTATTATATTTGCATTATAATATCATGATATGGACTGTTGGGATAATTATGTGGTCTGTGACTATATATTGTACTGATATGATGGACCGGATAACTGATCAAGTAATCAAACTTACATTATTAAATAAAGGTATTTAGAAAATCCAGTGAGTTAAAATAATACTAATTAAATTATCAAACCAGGTGCAAATAATGTCAGAATGCAGCAAAATAATTTGAATTTTATAGAAACATTACACAAAGGTAAAATGGTGTATATAAAAATACACGCGAGCATCATAAAATTGGATGGCAAACTTACATACATAAACTCTGTTCACACTATATTGACCTTTCTCGAAGTGATGCTTAACATTTATACTTTATTTGTCTGGCAAAGGACAACCCAATTTAAGACCATGGTCAAATTAACCACGTTTCGTACAGTAGCAGCAATTGTAAATATAATTATACCATGTTTAATTTGCGGGTCAGTTGAGCACAAAGCGGCTAAACTATGTCAAGCCCTGCACTCGATTAACACCCGGGCCCTCACGGATGCCGAGTATAGCGAGTGGCGTACGTTTACGGCTGTCGCACAACAGTCTGGCCGTACGTTTGGGTTTACGATCGGCGGATTTGCACCGTTTAATAAACGCACTCTAATTGGGGTAACAATAATGTTAATCTAGTTAACAAATTATTGATTAATTAATTGATTATTGTTTAGATATTTACATTTATGCTCAACTACTCGATAATTTTGCTTCAGACTAATAAATAATATTTAATAAAGTGCATGTGTAATTAATATTAAGTATCCAAATTGTTTACTGTTTAAATCTATATTTGCTAAATTAATTTATTTATTAATAAACTAAATGTCCACAAAAAAAGAAATGTTATTATCTTAATCAAATATTTACATTTTTAGGGCAGATGTTGGCAATAAGTTATTACTAATAACACATAATGCTTATAGAGAATTTAATTTGATATAATATACTGTATTTGTCTCAATAGTAAAACTTTATGAAAAACTGTGCAAATATATACATTTATTAATAATATCTGAAATACAATAATTAAATTAAAAAAGTTTAAGAAAAATATAACTTATAAGAAAATTAATAATACTTAAATAAGCTGTTAACAATCAATCATACTATGCCTCCAAATAACAAGCATTTTAAGCGTATTTGTTTAATAATGTTGTGGTTTCACCGCATTATTGGCATCTCGTTTGGCGGTCTAGTAATTTCACCAAATGGACAAATGCGACAAATTAAGCTCACCATGTACTACGGATTTATTGTAGCTTCCCTAATAATAGTTTTTGAGGTAATGTCGGTATACTATCTATTCACACACATTGATAAATTTAAGCAGAGCAGTCAGTTTGACAGCGAAATATTACCGGTTATATTTTTTACCATATATGCATTACAATGCGCTTTAAAATTTTATATAATGTTTTATTTAAATATATATGGCTACGATATTATACAAATTTTTACTAAACATCTCGGTAATCATATTAATTATTATTTACCTGGTAAAATCGTTGCAATATTGATCTTATGGGCTCTACATGTTATAATTAACGAGATTTTAAATGTGGAATATCTTTATAAAGATCAAGAAGAAAATATTATATTGAAAAGTATTTCAATACTTCTCTGCTTATTATACAATGTAATGATATGGACAATCGGGGTAATCATGTGGTCTGTAACCATATATTGCACAGGAATTATTGATCGAATCACTAGTCAAATCAACAACCTTACAATTATTAATAAAGGTAAGTTATAAAAATAACTAGAATTATATTTAATAAAATATAAAATTTATTTTAATTATTATTCATACATAAATTTTATTTAATTAAGACGCAAATGATTCACAACAATTAATAAAAACTTTATGCAACGCTAAAGTAATCTTTATGAAAATACATTCAACAATTAGAGAATTGGATATTAAACTTAAACACATAAATGCATTTAAAACAATATTTAACTTGTTTGAGGTAATGTTAAATATCTACGTGTTGTTTATGTGGGAGTGGACGCCAACATTTAAAATGATGGTTAAATCGACAGCGTTTCGCACGGCTGCGGAAATCATTCAGATAATCATATCGTGTCTTATCTGTGGATCAGTTGAACACAAAGCGGCTAAACTATGTCAAGCGCTGCACTCGATCAACACCCGGGCCCTCACGGATGCCGAGTATCGCGAGTGGCGTACGTTTACGGCTGTTGTCCAACAATCTGGCCGTGCGTTTGGCTTTACGATCGGCGGATTCGCACCGTTTAATAAACGCACTTTAATCGGGGTAAATAATTACGTTTTACTAAACAAATCCAGATTATTTATTAATAATTTACATGTATTTGAAGTTTTTACATGTAAATTATAAGTAATAGTGTTTCACTGCAGTACATATTCTGTGCTTTTATATAGCATTTTCTCATAACAAGAGTTGTAATGCAATGAAAATGTTTACTTTTAGTGTAAATCTATATATATTTTATAATTTAAATTATTTATAATATTTATATTTAACTTATATTTATTTCTGCAGATATTTACATTCATGCTAAATTATTCGGTCATTTTACTTCAAACAACTAAAAAATAATTTAATTTCAATTATTAATAATTTAATATAGTTTACTTAATAATTTAATAACTGTCAGTTTTAATAAATAAAATAATGAATTATCATATTTAAATGTTTTTATATAATGCAAATATTGTCTATTAAATTAACAAATAAAATGTTTAAGATAAATATATTTGCTTTAATAATATTTATATTATTATTCTAACTCTATTAAATATTTAATTAATTTTGTCATCATAATTTAAGTACAATACCGCATTATTTTATCATAACATATCATAAAGTACTTTACTTTGAGTGGGTTGTATATAAAACAAATAAAATGCTATTATATTGATAAAGATAAAGTTTATTAAGTATAATATTGGGACATAATTGCAAAATATTACTAACCTTATAACCTTATTCAAATTACTAAAATATTTATAACAACCGTATTTACTGTTCATAATTCAATAATGTTATTTAACATGTTTGGATTTTGTTGATGTTAAATGTGTATTGTAATAAAAACTGAAAATGAACAAATATTATTTAATATTTCTTATTTTGTTATGGTTTCACCGGTTAATTGGTATTACTTTTGCTGGAACGAGTATTGGAACAAATGGCCATGTAAGGCAAAATATTTATATAAAATACTATGGTTATTTAATAATTTTAATTATGGTCATCTATGATTCAATTTCAATGTTACATGTGTATAAAAATATACAAGGATTTTACCAATTAATCACTACTGATACGACACAAATAGTGCCCATGTTATACTTGATATTATTCCAGATAGAATATATATTAAAATTTTACATTTTCTACTTCCTTAACCATAATGGATTTTATATTATATCAACTTTTATTAAGAATTTAGGAATTTATACACAAAGATTAATTAATAAAACTATTATATTAATCACCTTGTTATACATATTCCACACCATCATGTTTATCTATTTAACATTTGAAAATAAAAATACTCTTGATCATCATTTAGTTATAAACAGATTGCTAACTCTTATAAGTTATCATATACTATTTATAATATGTTGGGTCCCATCGGTGATCATGTGGGTAATATCAATCTATTGCATTGATATTTTTGATGAAATAATAAATCAATCAAAGCATGGTAAGTTAGTTGCAAATTAAAATTAATAGTAAGTTTATAATCAAGTATTTCCTTAAGATCCACATATAACGTTAACAGTAATAAATATTAAATCATTATACATAAGAATTTACAATATAATTCTTTATCTGGATAAGCAGTTTGAATATATAAACACGATCAAAACTGTATTGACAATATTTGCAATTATGTTAAATATTTACACACTATGCATGGTGAAATTGGCCGATCAAATGCGACCCATGATGAAATTGATAATTTTTCGCACCCTTTCCGGTATTGTGGAGATATGTGTCTCGTGTTTCATATGCGGATCAGTGGAGCACAAGTGTGCAAAATTGGCGGACGTTTTATACGCCAAAAAGACGTGTCATATGTCGGACACGGAGTACAGGGAATGGCAGACATTGGTGACAGTCATACGCAATCGGCGTACGTTTGGTTTTACAATTGGAGGTTTTGCAGCGTTTAATAAACGCACACTTATTACGGTAAAATGTTTTAAATATCATTGTACTACTTATGTTTAATTAATAATTATAATACTGATTATGTTACAGGTTATTACGTTTATGCTTAACTATACTGTCATTCTGATGCAGACAAATAAATAAAAATCAATATTTTTTTCGTATTGTTTAACTTAACTTGTTGTTTGTGTAATAATAAATTATATTAATAAATTTTAGAATACTACATTTATAACCAAAGGCTAGTTTACTGTCTATTATGAACTATGTTGTACAATTTTGTATAAAAACTTCAAACATTAAATCTATTTAAAGATTTACCAATATCTGCCAAATCAAGTATGACTGTTAAACTGTGATGATACAATGAAAACATGATTAGCCTAATTTTAATAAACGTTATTTTTATTATAAGCAATTACTGTATTTTAAATATTATTCATTTATTTAATATTTAGGCTAATAGTTAATTAAATTGTGTTTATTTAAATTATTATTATCAATATTTGTATTTTTAGGCCAATTGTTTACTTAATACTTAACGAACTCACAGCAAAATTTTATTACTTGTATATTATATTAGGAATATTTTGCTATTAATAAATATAAAGCATATGATAATACAGAATATACAAGTGAGTCAAAGTAGTAATACACCCAAAAATATGATGCATTCAAATAACAAGCATTTCCAACGTATTTGTTTAATATTGTTGTGGTTTCACCGCATTATTGGCATTTCATTTGGCGGTTTAGCAATATCACCGAATGGAGACATGCGACAAATTAAATCAACCATGTACTATGGATTCATATTGGCCTTCATAATGATCATGTTTGATAGCACGACAATATATTTTTTATTTAACCACATCGAAGAGTTTATGGATAGCGTAAGATTTAAGGACAATACATTACGGTATATTTATTTGGTAGTATTTGCTTTACAACACACATGTAAATATTATGTAATGTTGTATTTAAATTTTAATGGTTATGGTATTGTAAAATTATTTATTAATCACCTCGGAGAATATGTTACAAATGTTTTATCTGGCAAAATTATTTTAATAATAATTCTATGGACGTTGCATATGGTATTTATCGAGATTATAAATTTGGAGATGTTGCATTATGAGAGAGATGATAATTATATTATTAAGGGCATATCAAATGTACTATATTTACATTACAATATCCTAATATGGACTGTGGGAGTAATTATGTGGTCTGTGACCATATATTGTACAAATATTATGGACAGGTTAACAAATAAAATTAACAATATTACAATTTTAAATAAAGGTATTATACAAAATAAAATTATATTAATGCATTATTTAATTAAATTTTTAAACAATTTTGCAGTCAAATCAATGAATTTAATTGAAACATTACACAGAGAAAAAATGATCTATGTAAAGTTACATTCCACCTTGAGGAAATTGGATGCTAAACTAAAATACATAAACGCGTTTAAAACCATATTAACTTTTTTCGAAGTGATGCTAAATATATACACCTTATTTATGTGGTCTTCGGAGCCAGAAATTAGGATCATGATCAAAGCAATTACATTTCAGACGGTGGCCACAATTATTCAACTGAGTATATCGTGTTTGATATGCGGATCGATTGAGAGTAAAGCGGCTAAACTATGTCAAGTCCTGCACTCGATTAACACCCGGGCCCTCACGGATGCCGAGTATCGCGAGTGGCGTACGTTTACGACTGTTGTCCAACAGTCTGGCCGTGCGTTTGGCTTTACGATCGGCGGATTTGCACCGTTTAATAAACGCACTCTAATTGGGGTAAAAAATAAAGTTTTATTTTGTTGTTTTTCTAATTATAATTTTAATTTATTTATTTGTTTTATATAGTTATTCACATTTATGCTCAACTATTCAGTAATATTACTTCAGACTAAAAAATAGCATTTAAATGTTCTGTATTTAAAAGCTTGATAAAGAAAACAGTCATAAACTTTTAATTGATAAATTAAAATTCTAATACTATTCTGCCATTAATTAAAATTGGATTATGTTAAGATATTTGTTATTTAATGAAATAATAATTATTATTATTGGTAAAACTAAACATACAATTTTTTAATTTAATGCTTGATTAATAAATTTAAATACTAACACTATTCTATAAATAAATAATAATTTTAAAATTTCAGTAATAATTTAAAATATTGTTATCAGTTACAAATAATAATAATGTATAATGTTTTTGAATAAGTGTAATTAAATAATTCTAAATAGTTTTATATAATGAATGTTTATTGTAATAAAATAACAAACAAATCATTTTTGATAAATAAGTTTTTGCCTAATTAACACTTTATTTGTATCATCTGTGCATTAATGCACTTTGTAATTTAAAACTGTTGGCTAAAATCAGGTATTAAAGTCAGTGCTAAAAAAATCCAGCTATTCCTCAACCAAACATTTGAGCCCCTTTTGGATTAATCAAAACTTCATTTGCATATCTGGTGTCCGAGCAGTGAATTTTCAAAGAGAGGTCACTTTTCTAAACGCGCCACGATATCAAACGTGTAACTTTTTAAACCCTTAACATTTCAGTGCATTTGCAAAACCATAACAAAAACACTAGCGCCGCCACATATCGACTACCCATTTCTCACACTATTTCACGACTTCCCTGTATGGACTTGATTTGACATCATTTCAGTTGTTGCGAGATTCAATGGATAGATAGCGCGCGCATCGAGACTCACACCAATTATATGGTTGACGGAAATCGTACCAATTATTAACACAGTATATGCTATGCATTAGTGTTATGTGTGGAGTGTATGAGTGGAGTCTTTGTGTTTGCATAGGGCATGCGTTGTAAATTATTTGTTTTGTTGTTATCATTGTATGCTTAGATGAAATTGTCCATAAATTATGTAATATATAATATTGACCCCATATTCATATTTAAATAGGAATATGGGGTTATGTCTACACGTTATTTACAGTTATAGATACATCTCAAACAATTAAGTAAAGCACATGTCAACAACAATTCAATAATAGTGTCCTTTTAATTGTGGTTAAAAATGAACCGCAAAACTGTGTTAAGTCAACAACAACTCGAAGACATGCTGAATGTCGACAGCGCTGATGAAAATACAAGCGGTAAAGAAGTGGATGAAATACAAAAGTCGTCACATTCATCAGACACTGAGCAAAGCGCTGAAGAGCTATGCGATGATAGTGATAATGATTTTCATACATCTCATAACACGTCTTCTCAGACATCTAATACCACAGCCACTAAAACCATACCACAAAATATTGTGAGAGAAATATGCGGACCAACAATAACTAAAAATCGCGCCGATAATACTTACGCATTATTTAATAGTTTCATTACAATTGAAATGATACAAACGATTGTTAATCATACTTTGAATACAAAATAATCAATAAAACACATGTACTGTAAATTAAAGTTTGTTATTTTGATACTGTTTTGTAAATTTCAGCGATCAATACTCTAGAAGTACTTGTTATGCCATTTGAGTATTTTGATGTATAAAATACAAGTAAAACATATGATCTAAAAGAATAAAAGACAATATAATTATGCAATTTGTTTGACTAAATAGTAAATATTTGTTATTGTTGTAATTTTGCCTTTTGAAATGTGTATTAAATAACGTTTGGACATAACCCCATATTCCTATTTAAATAGGAATATGGGGTCAATATTATACATCACATAATTTATGGACAATTTCTTGTAAGCATACAATGATAACAACAAAACAAATCATTTACAACGCATGCCCTATGCAAACACATACACTCCACTCATAGCTCTGGCTCTGGCTCTACCCGGTTGTGTTATCACGATTTTGTCTGATGGGGAGAAAGGGGGGTATAGTCTACGGAAATGGGGGCAAAAATAAATAGAAATTCCATAGTTTAAAGAACACATGTGTTCACAATTGAGATATTTTGACGTTTTGCCAAAACTACTTATTATTTCTCTTTCTTAATAAACATTTAAATTAAAAACTCTTCAATTGATTGAAATCAACAGATTTTTTTGGTAAATGAATAGAAAAATTTTAGTATAAATAGAAGACAGTTCGACACCAAAGCAATCAAGTCTACAAACATTTATAAACATTTCAAAGTTTATTAAATAATTTGTATTTGAATATTATATTTGTAACATTGCTTCCAAAAGTATATCACTTTCATTCAATTATGCCTTTCTCCAAGAAATTTGACGGAAAAGTTTGTTTGGTAACAGGTATTGACCGCTTTTCACAAGATTGATCATTTTCATAATGAATGTCACAACTGATAGCTATACTAATTGTATACTAATTGTATAATTAATATATAGGATCGAGTTCTGGCATCGGTGAGGAAACAGCCATACATTTGGCTGAATTGGGTGCGAATCTAGTGGTGACCGGAAGGGATGAACAGAGGATAAAATCGGTGGCCGAAAAATGTCGCAAAATTTCAGGCAAAAAAGTGATTTCAATTGCAGCCGATCTCCTCAATGATAACGACGTCCAGAATCTATTCGAAACAACAATACAAGAGTTTGGAAAACTGGATGTTTTGGTGAACAACGCGGGCGTCGGCGACCTCTCTTACATGAGTGATCCCAAGATTATGGAGTTATACACAAAGATTATGGACACTAATCTCAGATGTATTGTCCTTCTGTCACATTTGGCAATGCCTTACTTAGTGAAAACTAAAGGATGTATTATTAACATATCAAGTATCGCATCATTGAAACCGGTGAGCATTTTGTCTACTTGTAAATACTTATTAAATATTAAATCAATTGTTATTAAACAGAGTCCAAAAACTACATGTTATTGCATGTCAAAAGCAGCCCTCGATATGCTAACCAAATGTATGGCATTAGAATTGGCTCCTAAGGGTGTTCGCGTAAATTGTATCAAGTAAGTTTAAAATGTTAGCAATTTAAATGGTTAAATTAATTAACATTGTTATGTAAAAAGTCCGGCAGTGACTGAAACTCCGCTGTTGGAGAGAAAATACGGACACGTAATGCCTATAGAGAAGGTAAAGGAGATCCGAAGCAAACAATACCCAATCGGGCGAATCGCACAGCCGTATGACATCGCCTGTGCCGTCGAGTACTTGGCTTCAAATGATGCCGCTTTCATCACTGGCACCAGTCTTCTCATGGATGGCGGGGCTCTCTATGGCTCAACTCAAAAGGAATGATCACTTCAGACATTATTTCAATATATATTCACAATCTATTACTTTTTATTCATTTAACTTCTCATTTGATTTGATTTTTGTAGAAATATTTTTGCTTTTTAGAATTTTAAAATAATATTTATTAATTTTATTTTCTCTATATTAATTTAATCATTGTATGAATCTATTGAGTGCTAATAAATATATTTTTAAATCAAATAATATTTAAGTAGAGGTTTTAGTAGTTTTTATATTTAATTAAAATTAATATAACATAAAAGATTTTATATTATAAATGTGTTTAAATATTATGACTCATACAAGTTTACATAATAAAAATTCTTACAAAGCTCTCCTAGCACATTCATAATATGTATAGTAAATATTATATTTGAATAAATTATAGAATAATTTATGCATATAATTTATTTTCATATTTTAAATATTCATATTATTTATATTAAAATATTTTAAAAATTAAATAAGAATTTGGAAATTTTATAAATTAAACAATCAACTAAAATTAAAAATCCGTTTAATAAAGAAAATACCTTTTGTAATTCTTAAAATTAGAAATTTATAAGGTCTCAAAAGTAGGCAAAACTGGAAGTAAAATATGGCTACACTTGTAATTGTCTTTAAAATAGTGTTTGCAGTAAAAATGTTTTATCAATAAAATAATAAAACAAATAGTTTTATCAATTCTTCCAATTGTAGCATGACTTCAAATGTATTGGCTTCAAATCAATAATATTAAAATTACATTAAGACAAATTCTAATATTCTGTATTTAAATCATTTCATTTTTACCACAATTCATTTATTAATAATGTGGTTTATAGGATTGCGCTGCTATTCCCTCCCCACCCTAAAATAGTTAACATTTCATAATAATCCTATTACTATATTTAACATTGGGAGACTCTCATAGGGTAACATGTACTATGTTCAACATGGCCAACATACTTTGGACAACATACTTTTGCAATGAAAAAATTTGCAATTTGTTATTTAAAGACGTGGCACACTCAACTTGGTTGATATTGTGTGCGGACGTCTGAAAAAATGGTACATTAAATAACATATTAAAAACAATTAAAATTAAAAAAACAATTTTTTAAGATTTAAAATAAAATTATTATAATTATTATTATTTCTAAAATATTATTGCATACAATACTGGACATGCCCATATGAACCACCACTGGATCAGTTAATGGACATTCGCATCTTTCCCTTAGCAACAACATTCTTAGCAACAATTAGTCAGATTTGTCAGATCAGTTCGAGGATATTCGTATCATTTTTTACTAAGAATATTTTAAATTCTGAAAATAACAATATTCAAAGTATATTAATAATAAAATTGAAAAATTTACAATATTTGATCAAGTCCCAAAATAATAGTTAACGCATAGCATCGCGTGTGAACCTTGTTTAAAGCTTACTCGTTAGATAATAATTATTATTTGTTTTATTTGAATTTGCAAATGATTTATTTATTTTATTTGTTGCGCAAACCGTATTGAATTCACAGTCGTTATGATTTCAACAATGATATTAGTTATAAATTTTGTTAAATTATTCTATATTTAAATCAATCAGTTGTCAAGGATTTATTTATGTTTTTGATTTTTTATGTATAATGTTTTCCAA